CGGGAAAACCTGCGTGGCCTTCCTCTCCATCGGGCAGCTACACACTAAAAATGAACACCCCCGAAGCTGTAAGGCGCTTGCTCGAAGGAGCGAAAGAAGAACCTTGAGGCCGAAGCATCAGGCGCGCATTCACGTAAATGATGTACACAAAAATCTTCTGAAATGAGTTTCTGAAATGAAAATGGTAATTGCACAGATTCACAATTTCTCAAATGTTTTCATGCTGTTGGATTTTTTTTTGGTAAACATATTTTTTCCTCAAGTCTCCCGTTCATCCTTAACATTAGGAATCAATATGTAATACCAAGGCAGCTACTTTATTTTTATCCCATTTCTCAGTATGTGGCGGAGAGGCGGCAGAATTTGAAGAGGCTTCATCTTTGGGAGGCACTGAGCCATTTAGTTGAATGGCAGGCCTCTAAAAGTGTAAAAGTAATCAAAGTATTTTTTTTTTTTAAATTGTAGCCAGTGACCCTATCATGTTATTAGTTCATTAGAGTAATGTTTCTGAAACTGGTTCTCAGAAAGAGTTGTTCCAGCAGGAAAAGATACGATAGACTTTTATGATCTAATTTGAAATCCTTTAAACCTTGAAATCCTTGAAATACTTTGAACCTTTACTTTGAAATCCCACTTGCTTCCCTCCAGCTCTCCTTCGTGATTTTTTATTTTAGTAGAAACTGCATTCTTAAGACTAATTAGTGCTTGTCATTGTTACTAATTAAAAAAAAAATCTTATAGACAATTGTTAATTTCATCCTAATACAACATCAGCACTACACATGCTTTACCCAAGCACAGTGGATATTAACTATGAACTTAACAATATTTGGTTTCCTGAGGTGTACAAAGAGAACCCAAAGCACTAATGAAAACCAGCCTGAAAACATTTGAAAATAACTGGTTAATTTGCAGTATGGAGTAGCTCCTGGTAGAAGTGAAGAATGCTACCTTGCTGTCCTCTCATAATATCAGAAATTTGAGATTTCATTTGAAAAATCTTGGTGTCTGAAATAAAGGATTCTACATTAAATAAGGTTTACCAGCCTATCCTCTGATCTGTTTGATTGAAGGACAAGCTCCATCAAACAGCAGGTAGAGTAGTTGAGATACGTCATCATTTTCAGTCTTGAGGAGGATTCGCAACTGAGAAACTGTCTAAGAACCAAATGGTGGGATAGATTTTGAACTAGGCAGCTTCCTCCTGGTTTTAGATCTGAAGTGGGCTAATGTGAAGAGAAGGTTCATAAAAGCACTGAGAAAATGGAGATGGGGCCAAAGGAATTGTTTTGATTCGTTACCAAAGTGTACAAATGAAGTGAGATTGCAAAGGGCGAGAGTTACGCAGTTAAATACACATGCCATCATTATATGTTGTCTCTCAATGTTCATCTTACAGTCTTCCAGTTTTATTCAGTAAATTATACTTTTCAGAAATTATGAATTGATGCTTTGTTTTGTACTGTAGTATGCCAATGTGAGGAATGTGGGCGGCAAAGACAGGATCTTTGCAGTATTGTGAAAGAGAATCCTTTTCAAATCAACTTGGCATGTAGATGAAACATATGATAATCGGATGAGTTTTCTGGTAACCTGAAATTGCTAGTTAACATAAACCACTTTTTTTTGTAATGCACTATTTACCATATTTGGCCAGCCTTCCTGCCAGCAGCACATCACTGGTAGCAGAGTGTTTCTGTCATATATTTGAGGATGCTGTCACTTCGATGTACTATTTAACCTGGCTGTTTCCACCCTTCGTCTTCACCATGCACCCCATTTTGCTGCAGCTAAGAAACAAGAAGCCAGTGTAGCTTTGCTGGAATAACGATATCACAATGACAAATACTATTGACTGGCTCTTCTCAATATCCCAGCGAGAAATACCATTGCATTCCTTAGAAGGGTTTTCTTTGTATGGTGGTGTCTTGATCTTTCTGGACAAAAATGATTGCTTATTCTACATATATCTCCCTCAATAGTACTGTATTAGCACTTCTAAACTCTTCCTAAAATAAAAACTAAGTGTGCTTTCTGAAGAATAAGAGTTGCGTAAAACAATGTGGATCTTAATTAGTACCACCTGGTACTTCTTATTCAATCCTGTACTTCTACAGCTCTGTTATGTGTGCAAGCCTAATAAATTGATTTTTTTAGCATTGTGTATGAGAAATACACTTCTATTCATAGTCTTGTAACTGACTGAAAGTTAGCTGTCAGAAGACAAAGGTACTGTTCTGGTTTTTGCGCTTCAAGAAATTACTTGCTTTTGTTTAGCCGCAAAATCTCATATCTGATGTTAAAGTCCATGGACAAAGGTTTGAATCTAATGAAGTGATCCGACTGAGCATTGTGGCTGTCCAGCAGCGCCAATAAAAATAACCTTAGACAGGTTTGTATATACATAGCACAAGCCCAATGTATACACTTCTCAGGGCCTGTCACTTCTCAGTCAGACCATTTCCGCCTGAAAGGATTTTTCTTTCTGCCCTCAATATAAATTGCTGTTAGTTGGACCTGATAGTCACTTTGTAGCTTTCTGTTAGCTCTTAACTAGACTGAATGAGTAGTGGGCACATGGTGTGCTTTTTCAAATTCTCATAGGCCTTGACTTACTATCTTCAAAGTGGACCAGGTTAGTGGTCAGGTAAGAGGTAGAGGCTCATTTCATCACCCTTTGAGATGGCCCTTAGATTTTGTGGTGTGTTAACTCGTGTGAATCCTTGATGGACCATTGAAACAAGAGGTCCCAGGTTTCTAGAAGCTTACTTTGCACTTTGTTTTAAGCGGATAACTTGCTTAAGTTTGGCTGACTTAAAGAGGGAGTGAGATTTAAAAATAACCTCAGTCAGAGACTCAGAGGTTGAAGCTGCAGGTAACTGTCTCCCATAAAATCAGGATGATAATGACTTTAATGGGTCTTTTGTCCAAAGTATTTGCTGTTTGACACTCAGTATCTCATTAATATGTCTACATAGTAGGAAGGGTCAACACAGAGTGCAAATGGGAATGTTTTCAAGAAGCATTTCCTTAACCTAGGGAGAAATACTGCTTGTGAGCAATTACCAGTGTGATTTGTGTAAGAGATCAGACCTTTCTTGGCTGTTCTTGAATCTCGTTTGCCCAGACAAAATCAATTCTGTTGTCATGAATTCTCTACCGTAGCAAAGTTACTACCTTGAGTGAGTTCTGTTCATTCCTCTGCTCGCTTAAAACTTCAATGGCTCTTTTTCTGTCTTCTCACTGAG